AACTAATCAGAGTAACTCTGGGGTGTGTGTGTGTGTGTGTGTGTGTGTGTGTGTGGAGCAGCTGCTGCTCAGGCTCACGGCCCAGATTAGGCCCAGGTTACCGGGTTTGTTTGACTAGAGTTTGTAGTTTCTGCCTCTGACCTGGATGTCGGGCCAGTCCGCCGTGTTGGTTCCGTTGGACTGCGTGTGGACACTGGACGCGTTGCTGTGCGTCTGGTTCTTGGTCCTCAGGCCCCACAGGAAGTGGCGGATGTAGAGCAGCTGCCTGTAGATGCTGTCCTCCACGCACTCGCTGTCCAGGTCCACTCTGAAGCCAGAGCTGGGCAGCACGATGGGGGGGTGGTTCTCGAAGCTCTCCAGGAGGTCCACTGAGGACAAAGACACAGAAGGTTTGGTTCCAGGTGACCAGCAGGTCCCCCCCCCCCCAGGAAGACTAACTACTGCTGCATCTGTTAAGATTACAGTACAGACTGAATGTACAGCAGTAGACGCCTAGTGACCGTTGTTGGTAATTACATCTGTCTTTTTTTTTGTAACTTCCAATTGGTTTCAGTGACATTCATCATTTAAAAATGTTTTTCTTTTTTTTTTTCTGTCATCCTGTCCGTTCAGAGATTTTTCATTTAGAGCCAGTGGTGGCTTAGTGGTTAAAGAAACGGACTTGGCTCCGGAGGGGTTCAGGTTCAAGTCCATCATCTGTCTAGTTACCACTGAGGTGCCCCTCACACTGCTGCCCCCTGCTGACTTTGGTGATGGGTTAAAAGCAGAGGTCACATTTGGTTGTGTGCAGTGGTGCGGTGGTGCAGTGGTGCGGTGGTTCTAACCCGTTCTGTCTAACCTACCTGTTCTGTAGACGTAGGCCTCGTCCTCACTGCTGGGCTGCCACATCGGGACCGGTCCAATCTCTGCCGTCACCTGGTACTGGCTGAGAATTCTGTGCAGCTGGACGGGCTTCAGAGACGGATGTTCACTGGACAGGACTCTCCAACTCAGCTGCAGGGGGAGACAGAGAGACACGGACCGTTGACGGCAACGAAAAAGGAGAGAGCGAGACGCTAACTCTAAACTGAGAACCAGAGAGAACGTACAAGAATTCAGTGCTTCTCAAAATGTGGGGCGGGCCCCGCTGGTGTTGTGTGAATAAATGTGAAATATAATTTTGTCAAAATGACCAGGTTTGAGAACCTTCTGCTACGTTACCAGGAGCTACAGTGGCGACTAAACCAAACTGCACCATGGGAAACGTGGTTCGTGGTAAACGTATGTTTTAAACTGAAGTGAAGGAAGTTTGAGATGTGACTTCGTAGCCAAGAATCTTGTTGTGTTTTTGTGTGTTACCTGTTTGAGCTGCTGTGAGGGCGTGGCCAATATGGACACCGTGCTGTTGAGTTTGGTGAAGAATTTGTCGGTCAGATGACCCAGACCCGACCTGCTGGCCCACTCCATCACCATACGTAGACACGCCTGGATCTGCAGCACCTTTGACCTTTGGAACCAACCGCGGGATCCACCTGAGTCCACACACCAACGCACGTTAGACCTAGTTCTACGCTGATGTACATGGGGCTCCAACTACTAATTAGGCAGTTATTTTGCTGAGGATTCTGGGTAAAGTTGTGGTTGTCTGCAGGAAATGAGGCCTCCTGGAGGTTACTTACAAATTCGGGGCTGCATTTTTGCAAATGGATTTGGGAAGAAATGGTGTCGTGAATATGGAGCAATACACACACACACACACACATATTTATTGTGTGTGTGTGTGTGTGTGTGTGTTTGCTGCAGAGGCCCTGATGCAAACATCAGCACTACCTGCCACAAACTAACTTCACAGTTGCCATGGAGACCAACAGTAGCAGAGAAATATCAATGAGCGAGAAAAAAAAAACGGGAGCAAGTGAGGAGAGGAAACAAAGACGGGGAGGGGTGAGGAGGGGTGAGGAGAGGAGGGGTGAGGAGAGGAGGGGGGAGGAGGGGCGGGGAGGGGAGGGGGGAGG